CATCCAATATATGGGGAAAAAATTGATGGAGCCAGCATGGGCGCCACCGCGGCTCGCTGGCTTTGCCCCTATCTCATGTCGCCTATATAATATATAGAAAAATTGAAGGATTGGATGTTGACGAAAAAAATGAATTTGGAATGCTACTAAGAGTGTGTTCAAGCTATAAAACATAAGTCTCTTTATGAAAAATAAAATCTTTGGACAATCAGACAAAGCTAAGGTCTTTAATCCCACGCTGCTCATTCAATTATGAAATTGCAAATATGAAAATAAAATAAAATTGGTCTGCGTCGTGCATTAAAGATATAAGTTCAGCCCATCCCTTCCTACGTTCTTTAAAATGAGTTAGTTCAACAGCTTCATCAATGTTCGAAGATTAAGCACAAGAAATCACTTGATAGGAATGTTGATTTTGCCAAACCACAAGTTTAGTTGATTTTGAAAGAACATGTCAAGTTTCTTTAATGCATGAAACTTGACAATGGTGGTGCTCAAACCCTACTTTTGACTCCACTAAAATCGATTTTTCTGCTATATAAATACTTAAGTATAAGGCGTTTTTCATCACACTCATTGCATTCTAATCCTCTCTACATTTCTTGGTTACTAAGTTTTCATCCCATTTCATGGATTCTAATCAAGATGCCAAATTTTCTAGCCATCCTGTTAATGACATGGAGAGACAAATGAGCCTTGAGCTAAAAGAAAAGGAATTCGACTATTCAAAACGATCTCAATGGCTCCGTGCTGCGGTTCTTGGCGCCAACGATGGGCTTGTTTCGACAGCATCATTAATGATGGGTATTGGAGCAGTAAAACAAGACATTAAGGTCATGATCCTAACAGGTAGTGGTTATATATTTGACAAATAAGGAAGTTTAGCAGATTTTTTTTTTCCTCTTGTATTTGATTTTATATTCGTTGATCATTTATTAAAGTGTGGTGGTGAATTTTCCATTGTCAGGGTTTGCGGGATTAGTGGCTGGAGCATGTTCCATGGCCATAGGCGAATTCGTGTCGGTTTACTCACAACTCGACATAGAAATGGCTCAAATGAAGAGAGAAAAGGAAAGGGCAGTTGGTATAGAAAGTATAAAAGGAGAGAAAGACGGTTTGCCTAACCCAATACAAGCAGCTGCTGCATCAGCCCTAGCATTTTCTATGGGTGCAATGGTGCCACTATTGGCTGCCTCCTTCATAAGAGAGTACAGGGTGAGAATGTGGGTGGTGGCTGCTGCCGTCAGCCTTGCTTTGGTGGTGTTTGGGTGGTTAGGGGCAATGTTAGGAAGGGCACCGGCGGCCAGGTCGTCCATAAGGGCTTTGATTGGTGGTTGTTTGGCCATGGCCATAACATTTGGTGCAACAAAGTTGATTGGTTCTTGTGGGCTGTAAATTAGCAATAACGAATTACAAATGCCAAATTGCATTTTGAGACTTATTGAACGATACCTAGTCAAAGAGAGGAAACTTCAATGTATTGACTTTGCTACACAAATAGGATTGAGGAAATGATTTAAAAACAGGGAAATGTGTCAAATGCTGATTGATCAGTTTTTTTCTTCCTGTTTGAGTAGCTTTATTCAATTACATTTGAGTGATACTACTTGGCTAGGGCCACATGGTCCCTGGGGGTACACGTCCCCCTATTGGCAGGAAATTTGTCGGGAATAATTTAATATATTTTATAAAGAAATTTAAAAAGAAATGATTTCATAAAATATTTTTTTTCCCTTTTTTAATTTCAATAAATTGAGTGCGATATGGGAATTGCATAGAAGACTCTAAACTAAACTAGAAGATGGCACGTAATGAAGACTAAGGATGCTAGAAACATGGATTAGTGCAGCATGTACAAGTTGCATCCGATCTAAAAGACTTTGTGCACTTTGCACCTCGACACTTTCATCCTTTGTTTCACTCTGGCCCGATTACACATAAGAAAATTCACCTTGGCAAAGTTGTGCCTAACTGGAAGAAGTTTCGCCACTTATCTAACATAGAGCTAAAAAACTTTATTGCTGATTTTTTCATGAAGTTGCTAATGGAAGGAATCACTAGATACACTCGTGACATTCCAACTAGATTGACATCTTCATAGGACCTTCATCATGTGTCCCCTTAGCCATTATATTAAATAAAAAACAAAACAAATATATCAATTGTTACTAGCGATAAACCTAACCAATCAAACCAATCAAAGTGAAAATTATCTACCAGTCCAATCAAATGAATAATTGTTGATAAATATGACGAAATATGGATTAATTCCTTGTAAATTATGTTATGCATGCCAATATTGATCAATGTGGTAGAAATAAGAAAAAATAAGCTAGAAAGGACCAAAATGGAAGAAAATAAAAGTTTAGGGACCAAAGTACAAATAATTGAAAGATGGCCCAGAAGCAAAAGTGAAGATGTGAAAGAGTCAATGACCAATTTAGTGAAGACATGAAGTATTGGAAGAAGAAGAAATAAGAAAAGAAATAAAAAATAATGAGAAAACGGAGTTCGAGGATCAAAATGCAAAGATTGAATTTTTACTTGAACTATGCTATATCATAGTTAGTTCTTCAATGCGGCCACATAGGTACTTTAGAAAGGTTCAGGGCCAAATTTCATTGAAATATGCTATAGCATTGATTTGCAAATTCGTCGGGAAAAATCTGGTTTCCTTGTTTGATTAAA